GTAGGTGTATTTATATGTTTTTCTACTTTTATTATTAATTCTCATTAAAATTTTGTTACATTATCATTAACTGTTTGATTATTATAGACAGCTCCTATTTTGGGATTCCGTATTTTCGGGGAACTTTGCTTATTATAAATTGAAAAAGTACAATTACTAAACAATTCAAGACCAGCAGATTAGGAGGACCCTGCTAGTTAAATTTTACATTACAAAAGGGAGAGACAAGTGATACAAGGGTTAATGACTGTGAGGGATGAGCTAATGGAGAAAGTAGATGTATTGATTTTAGGTGGAGGCAGGATAGGCTTCTCTGAAGAGATGAGTTTGTAGGGATAACCTAGGTAGACAGAGTAGGAGAGAGACTGGGGCAGGGAGTTTCATAGGATGGGAGAGACTCTAGAGAAGTCCTAGAGGCAAGCATGGGAGGAGGAGGGCTATGGAGCTGGAGGCAAACTTGTGGATGGCTTTGTCTATTGTTAATATTTTGATTATTATAGATTGTACTAGTGGAGGCCACTGGAGAGATTGGCAGAGAGATGGCAGCCACTGAGTGGTTGTTGAGGTAGATGAGTCTAGCAGCAGCATTCATGATGGCCCAACAAGAAGGTAGTTGCAATAGGTGAGCGAGTGATAACCAGGGAGTGAATTAGTAGCTTTCTGGTGTAATTTGTTAACCAGTTGACATCCGCGGTGTTAAACCCCCTTCCCATCCAGGCCATTTTTCAGTATTCAGCGCTGCGAGCAAATTTTGGATATGTTATGGAGGTTAAGGTGGCAGGAATTGGACAGTGATTGGAGATGAGACCTGAAGGAAAGGTTAGAATCCAGGATTACACAGCATAAGTAAAGGGACTAATAGATGTGCTATTGATCTTGATGGGAAGGGGAATATGGGGGAGTTTGAGGAAGTGGTGTGCCAACCATACTGAAATGTCAGTTAGAAAATTAGTGATGCATGTGAAAATTGAAGGCATGAGCTGGGGAACTTTGAGATAGATTTGGGTGATGTCATCATAGAGATGGTATTGGAAGTCATGTGAGCTTATCAACTGACTCAGGGATGAGAGGCAAATAGAGAATAGAGAGGGTACGAGGACAGAGCCTTGTGGACCCCTATGGAAAGATGATGGGTAGAGGAGGAGATAGCAGTGTAGGTTACAGTGAAAGTGTGCTGAGGTAGGCAGGAGGAGAACCAGGAGAGAGCAGAGTATTGGAGGCCATGAGAGTGGTGTATTTTGAGAAGTCTCAATTGTATCAAAGGCAGCAGAAAGGTCTAAGAGTGAGTACAGAGTAGTAGTAGCCTTTGGCTTTAGCACTTAGTACGTCGTTTGTGAGTTTTGGCAGGGCAATTTCAGTGTAGTGATGCAGGTGGAAGCCAGACTGTAAGAGGTTGATAAGGTTGTTATCAGTGAGGCAGAAAATCAGATGGTTGTAGACGAGGCATTTGAAAAGTTTGAAAGTAAATGGAATTAGGGAAATGGATCTACAGGTGCTTAAATTGGTGGTGTCCAGTGAGGGCTTTTAAAGCATGGGGGCGACCAGTGCGTGTTTTAGGATGGTGGGAAATATGCCAACATAGAAGGAGAGATTAAAGCAGTGAGCTAGGCAGCATAGAAAAGAGGGTGACCGCAGTAGTTGAGAGGACATGGGGTCCAGGGGGCAGGTGGTTAGGTGGGCCTCAGAATGAAGTTTATCAACCTCATCCATGGTAACAGGATCAAAAGAGGAAAGTATTGAATGTGGTGGTAGACCTGGTATGTTAGGTGGGTGAAATATCTGGGGAGTGCAGATCTCAGGTCTTGATGGGATTTTTGGGTATGTAATGCATTCCACATAATCTTACCAGCCAGCACTCCTGGTTCCATATTTTCTAGTTGAAAGTATAGTTAGGGATGTAAAATATTTATATTTTTCTTTGTCTCAAACCTATCAGGTGACAATCACAGAACCACAAGAAATGCTGGACGTTTTAAAGAAGTTACCCCCGCACTTCATGCGTTAAGTGCTCATTTTCATTTAGCTGCAAAAATAAAAAAAAACGTATACTTACCCGATCTTTGAAACCAGCTAGCTGTTGAGTCTGGTACCTGCATGCTCACTCCCCCTTCGCTCTGGCAGTTTAAGGTTGCATGAGTCATCACGTTCACTACAGTGCATTGGGCGCGAGGATGCCGATGGACATACCATCACTGCGGGCGTAGCCCCACTAGAAGGGTTAAGAAATGTCTTTAATTATGCTGTATCTTACTGACTGTAAGCATGTTAGCTAGCAGCTGAAACATAATTGCCATATTTTAAAAGGCACATTTAAAACATAAGTAGAGCTTCCTGGAGGTCTTGGTTAAATATATCTTTTACATTCAGCAGATAACGGCATGCAAATCAGGTCTTTTATGAAAACAAAGTGATTTAGTTCATAGTTTTAGTGATATCTCCCGAAGTTTGCATGTAATACCTACAGAGGGACTTAATAAAAATTCACAGCTGTTAGTCAGAAATAACAAGTTTGTAAAAGCTGAAAATCAGTTATCACAGCTAAGGTCTCCGTGAATGTTTATTATACATGCATGACACAGAAATATTTAGGAGAAATTAGTGATTAAGCCACGTCTAATTTGCTGGATTTGGTAGATGATAGCAAACCCTATTTATGTGCTAGAGAGGTGTAGCTTTTAATGATATCCGCTAAAGCTGAACTACAGCTAACCAGCTAAATATGCATTTAGAATACATACAGCATATGTGAACCTTCTTGATAAAAATAATTCATTCGGTTCAGCCAGTCCAGTGATGCAGACACAACTTCAGATACTGGAGCATGTTACTGGCTACACATGCAGTTAGGCATTGCATCCGCCTATAGGACACTCCCACCCTACAATTGATGAGATAAGCTTTGTGCACTATGTTGCACTATGCAGAGCCATGACTGCGCATTTTTGACTGTGTCGCGCATTTTTACGTGCGTTAGATGCGCGCACATGGAGACCCGCATCTTAGCTGGCAGATTGAAAGACCTTGGAGGCAATGGAAACAAAGGCTTTTCCATTGAAGCCTATGGGGCCAAACGTGCTGCAAAACACCCTAAAGAAACTCAGGAACTTTTTCCAGCAACAGGCGTTTCGCAGCTTGCGACAAAACGGTCAGGTGTGAAAGGGGGTCTTTAAAGTAAATGGGAATTCATGTGCTGAGCGTTTTATTGCGTGGGTTTGTGCATGACAAAATGCTTAGGTGTGAATGGGGGCTTAGTGCACTGTCCCTCCGTCCTCCAGGCTGAGTGCTGCTGTGCAGAGAATTAGGAGATGCACTTGGATACATTACATACAGGCACTGTTTTTGTTTTTGTTTTATGTCAAATACATTTATTTTTTTTAACAAATTCTTAACTGGCCTAAATGGTATTTGCAATTCCTCATATGCCTTAGGTACCTCTTTAGTGTGTAACATTGAAGATCTTCTGACTTTAGCACAGTGACAATGTGTCCTGGATAAAATTGATGAACTTGACTTGTTAGCTGGAGTAGATCTTTATATAATACAGTTTTATTACTAATATAGGGGAAAATCTAGCACCAGTTTTCCAGTTATTCATCCATGATTGGGCACAATTTGCAGCCTATTATTGCTTTGCTGAAGGGGAAGGAATTACAGAGTAATATTAGGTCAACCAAAATGCTTTTTTTCTTCTGATTTTCTGGTAGTCTAGGAGGGCTGTTTACAATGGGTGACAAACAACTACCCTTCCTTTTCAACATTTTGTTTATTTTGCTGCTAAATTCTCTTGTATTTCTCCAGGTTATATGTAGATGTTCGGCATTGGATGTTTTGATGTCTAAGAATTTGTTTAAATGTGATATGTGGGAAGATGGGCGGAAGGGGGCTTTTAGAGGTTCAAAGTAAAGCTGGGCTTTAAAGTAGATGTTAATCTGATCACTAAAATCTCATATAAATCTATAACCAGAAATTCAAAAGTAATTCTCAATTTTTTTGTTATCTGCAACTTTTATGAAAATAATACCTGTTATGAAGTTCCTTGTCGAGGCACTTCATGTTATGGGGTGACAACGCTTTGCCCTTGTCTCCTGCGTTGTCACCCTGTTACCTACACATCCTTTGGACACTGTTCACATCTATGCTGATACTCATTGTACAGGCATTATCCATAAGCCAAAAGCAGACCTGCAGACTGCATACAATGTCGCAGAGATCACTTGTACAAAACAAGCGGTGGCTTCCCTGCTGTACATTTACAACTACCCGCCCATCGGGAAATAGGAATTCCACATCCCTGCTGCCCCTCTACTCCCTGCTGCCCCGAGTTGGCCTTGTGGGAAATCCGGCCCTGATTATCCACCATTGCAAAGAGACTGAAGAAAATCAGCAGCACCAAAAAGCAAAAAAATGCTGAAAACTACATTTTCTAAAATACAGGTGCTCCTCGCTTAATGACTTACCTGTTTTGCAACCACTCGCACTTACGACCGTCCTCCGAGCGACCTCCGATTTCGCGCGTCGGCGCCAGTGTGACGTGTCGCCGGGGAAAGTGACGTCTTCCGATCTTCACAGCGGGTCCCGGTGAGTATTTTCATTGCCCGATGTACAGTACACTGTTCGGTACTGTACATCTGCAACGCTATACAGTACTGAACTAATGCAGTACAGTACTGTATAGAGTTCCTCACTTAACGACCAATCCGTTTAACGACCTGGTCGTAGGAACGGAACTCGGTCGTTAAGTGAGGAATACCTGTAATAAAAACGTTTCAGATGTCTGTGAAAAACAGGTTTGAATGTAATTTAATTAGGGTTTAGATCTACTTTAAAGTAAATATGTGCTTTAGGAAGATGATTGCACTCTTCACGATAACAATATGGCACACTACAGTAAATTCTGTGTTTCAGTCTCTGAGATATGAACTGTTTAATGTAATACAACACCTATTTTAACTTGTATGATGTGACTAACCATCTATCCCCTTGTTTTATTATTTTTCCAGGTTTACTGAGTTTTTGGATCCCTTTCAGCGTGTTATTCAACCAGAAGAAATTTGGCTATATAAGAATCCCCTGGTTCAGTCAGACAACATACCTACACGGCTCATGTTTGTAAGTAAGATGTTACATTGTATTGTCTTCCTTGGGGTCATACCTACTGCTTGCACTCATTTTATATCTCATTTAGCAAATACAATTCCTTTCTTTTTCAGTAGCCTCTAATCTAAGGTTTTCTGGCAGTCAAAACCAGTGTAAGGGAGCCCTTCCCCACCGACCACCAGTGTAAAGGAGCCCTTCCTCACCGACCACCAGTGTAAGGGAGGCCTTCTGCCACCCACCACCAGTGTAAGGGAGGCCTTCTCCCACTGACCAGTGTAAGGGAGGCCTTCTCCACTGACCACCAGTGTAAGGGAGGCCTTCTCCACTGTCCACCAGTGCAAGGGAGGACTTCTCTACTGACCACCAGTGTAAGGAGCCCTTATCCCACTAGCACCAGTGTAAGGGAGCACTTCTACTGACCACCAGTGTGGAAAAGCCCTTCTACTGATCACCAGTGTAAAGGATCCCTTCTTCACTGACCAGCAATGTAAGTGAGCCCTCATGCCACTGACCACCAGTGTAAGGGAATCTGACCATTATGGTGAGAGGCCCTTATCCCACTAACCATCAGTGTAAGAGAAATGATCTCCTAATGACCATTATGGTGAGAGGTCCTTATCCCACTGATCACCAGTTAAGGGAAAACATCTTCCGCTGATCTCTGAAATAAAGGGGCCCTTCTCCACTGCCCACCAATGTAAAGGGGAATTACACTTTTCACTGTCTGCATCTCTTTTCCTCTCATTATAATTCTGTTCATTTCATTATTTATACTGGTATTGTTTGTCATATAGAGCAGGTGAGTGTTACAAAATTATCTGCTCTAGGTGTCAAATACTTTAGGTACATGGTATTCTTTTTTTATATATACAACTGACTGATAATATACGATGAGCTATAGATAAATTCCTTTTAGTAGGAGTTCCATAAGTTCTGAAATATTTTTTCCAAAGGGTTCCTCCGAGGGGCTTATGGCTGATTCAAAAGAATTGCAGCCCAGAATTTTACTCTGTAGCACTGTAATTCTTTTTAAGTAATTGGTGAAATGTGGACCACTAGAAATATATGGTCACCCGCAGATGTCTCTAGAGATCTAGAAACAAACAGGCTTTTAGATGATTCTCTCAACACACTCATCCACTTTTTAACGTATGTCAGGGGAATCCCTGTTACAGACTCTAAAAAGTGCAATGTCAGCTGTGTGAGCAGAGATACAGTATTAATAAAGTGCTAGCTGTAGGCTGTGATGCACAGTGACTTTCCTGGTGCATTAGCAGTTGCAGTTGGGTATTACATTGCAGCGCTCACTTAGAAATGGCATCCTGTCTGACCAATATCGGTGTTGCTGCTGTCCATGCTACTGATGCTTCTGGCCCGAGTAATATGTGCCCAGTGACGTAACAATAGCCATAGCAGCTCACGTGGTTGCTATGGGACCTAGGGTAAGAGGAGGTCCCATAAGGGGGCTAATTAGGAAAACTAAGCTGTCAGGTTTCCAGTACTTAAAGAAGAACTTTGGTTAAAGGTTATTAACTCTTGCAGTGGGAACCCCTGCACTGCAAAGGTTAAGTGCTCGTTTTTGTCTAGGTGCTCAAAAAATAAGTTATACTCGCCCAACCATCCGAGCTTTTGTGATCACTGAAGCATGTCTCCTCCTCCACTGCACAGATGGGCTGCTCTGCGTCCTCACGTTTATACACAGTCTATGCACAGTGTGTAGAGCGTGATGTCCAGTATCCTTAGACCACTGCAGCAGAGGGGGAAAGACACTGGAAATGCCAGTCTAAGAAGAAGCTGGCTTGGATGGTCTGATGAGTATAACTTTTTTTTTTTTTTTTAGCACCTAGATACAAACGAATATGTAACCCTTGCAGTGTGGAGGTAACCCCACTGCAAGGGTTAATCATTTTTTTTTTTTTTTTTCTTTAAGGACTGAAGTCAGACCTCTGGATCCCTAGTCACAGATCCCCCTCTATGAAGTGGAAGCATTTGCTTATCTATCGCAGTGCAGATTTATTGCCCTCTGAGCTCCTGCTTCAGATCCACATTAACCCTGTATGTCTAATGCAGCCATAAATGCCAGAGTTTCTCCTGTGTTAAAACCTTACATATTGTCACCAGCAAACGCTACAGAGAAAGTTAGCCATAGCAAGCTTAACATTGGTTCTATCACCAAAATAGCCGCCACTTATGTGTAGAGGTGACAGGTGCTGATTAACCCTGTAGTTTGTTTCTGCTTTTTTTCCCACAGGCAATTTCATTCCTTACACCCCTGGCTGTGATTTTTGTAGTGAAAATCATCCAACGGACAGACAGGACAGACATAAAGGAAGCCTGTCTGGGTAAGCAGATGTTCCATATAACTGATAGCTGGCTAATGGAAGTAAGCTCCGATACTGAATGTTTTGCTTGGGAATGGTAAATTACAATATGATTATTAATATATCAAGTGATACTGTTACGTACCGTGGTGCGGGCCTGGAGTGATAAGGAGCACCTCCCTTGTGGTTCCGTCTGTGGACCCCTGAGGTGCAACAGGGGGTTACAGGCAAGAGCAGCACGGGTGCCTGTATGGAATTCTGGGTGCAGCTGAGCGTGGTGATTCACTGGGGAATTCCAAGAATGGTCAGGAGCAAGCCGGTTCAGGAGCCAGAGAGGTAATGATAACAGCCAAAACAGAATCCAGAGAATGGTCAGGGACAAGCCAGGGTCAGAAGCCAGAGAGGGAATATAAGAACATCAACAGGATCCAGAGAATGGTCAACACTATAGGGCATACACAGGAACAGAGCAATACAGACAGGACACAGGCTGAAGAGCACTCAGCAATGGCTGAGAATGCTGAGTCTCCTTTTATAGCCCCAGTGACATCACTGGGCGGCATCAGGACGCATAGGGGCGTGTCCCCCTGGCCCATCGCGTCACTGGTGGGCGTGCCCCGCCGGGCCGCCTCGTCGCAGGTGGGCGTGCCCCGCCGGGCCGCCTCGTCACTGAGAGCCGTGTCCCCGCTGCAGAAGCGCGAGTCGGGACCGGACTGCGGCCTGTGACCCGACAGACACAGTGCCTGCTTATATATTCCACCGACTGCATGATCTTTGTCAGAGGACTGAAGCCAGGAACAGGGAGTTCAAACAAGGTCACATTAGCGAAGATAGATTTATATACACAAAAATAGATATAGAATTGCACTGTGTAGCTCAGGGGTAGCCAAACTGCGGCCCTCCAGCTGTGGTGGAACTACGAATCCCATGAGACTTTGAAAGATTATCGCAGCCACAGACATGACTCCCGGGGGGAGATGCATCATGGGATTTGTAGTTTCACCACAGCTGGAGGGCCGGAGTTTGGCCATCCCTGTTGTAGCTGTTTATTTTTCTATCAAAGTGAATGTTTTGGGTTTTGTATTTATTTAATTTTATTATGTTTACCAGGTTAACCTCAGCTGTGTTATTGAAAAAACGCATTTACTTTTGTTTACATTGCTCATTTGCCTTAAGTAAACCCAAGATCAAAAATGTAATATATTGAAACTTACCAGTCCTTAGATGTGGTGGCTGCATTAGTTGTTTTTTTCCCCCGGCTAAATACATTTCTTTAACTGACTGTTGTTCCTCCTAGAAATTCAATGCCCTTGTATCTTCCGGTCTACCAAAATGAAATCTTAAACAATTTTAGTAGCTTTTCAGGGTGTTTTCTGTCATCTACACCATCCTTCCTCCATGTGTAATGCAGATGAAAAGAGGGGGAGGTGTTTTTAGTCCAAATCAGGAGAACAGCCTAGGATGACACCACAGCTCCTCAACAGTATAGTGACGGAGGAAAACATCTATGACAGGAAGTGTGTTACTGGCAGGTTCGCCAGGTGAAAACAAAAAAGAAAAAACGTAGAAAGGGAATCTAAAGACTGGTAAGCTGCAATATATCACAATGTTGTTTTTGGGTTTAGATACACTTTAAGTTCAAATAGCACACAAAGCTAAATGGGTCAAATTAGTGCCCTAACCCCCTCACTATCTGCTGTGTTCATAGGGATCTGTAAGAGGTTTCCTTTAAAAAAAAAAAAAAAAAGATATAAAGTCAAACAGTTTTTGCTGTACTAGGTAGAAAAACCTGTGATAGGTAGAAAAACCTGTGTGGCACTATTCAGTGTCATGGGTGTAATACAGACAGTTTATTTATAAAATAAAGATGTTATATTAATAGTATTTAGAAAACATGAGTTTTCAAATCTTTAATCTTTCTTTATAAATGGCCATAATCTTTCTTTTACAAAAATTACAGTCATTATAATTTTCCTCAAAGAAACCCAGAGGTATAACAGATATAGCTCAATACATCAGTGATAACTCAGTCCTACAGTGCCAAACCCCAATAAATATATATCACACGCACCAAAAAGGTTGTGGGTTTTTTGAAGGCACTAGACCACACAATTGTACAATTTTCATATTTTATTATTTCAAAGTAAAAAGACATTCAAAATTGCAGAAACATCTGCCTCAAAAAAGACATGATTCATCGTATTTATATTGTTGTTTTACACCATTGGAGGAACCACAATCCTCACGTGTTGATTTTGTTTATGACAATCTATATCTGATTTGTGATGTAGTGAGTTTTTCTTCTGAATTATGGGGGAAACCCGGCAGGGTACTAATCATGTAATATAAATAACCTGAATCATGTATTTTTGAGGCAGATGTTTCTGCAATTTTTAATGTCTTTTAACGTTGAAATAATACAATATTACATTTTACAATTGTGTGGTCTGGTGCCTTCAAAAAATCCACAACCTTTTTGGTGTGTGTGATATAAAGAGGTATAACAAAGATAAAGGGCCTACAAAATTCTAGGACATACTGGAGAGTTTAATTTACTGGTAACAAAGAACTAGAATTAAATGGTATACAACCAGTCAAGATTTCGGTGAACTGTAGTCAAATTGGTGACAGTTGGTTGTTATGCATTACTGCACTTTGCCAATCATCACTGTTCCTTGCACTGCCTTAATGTCAACTTAACCAGGTCTGAAACATTTCTAAGGTAACAACAATGGTGAATTGAAGTTAGGCACCTTGCTTCTGCCAAAGTTGAGATGACACTCCACTCCTGGTAATGAACCCCCACCCAATGTTATTCTGGTTTGGCTATTTGACAGCCAAATGACAGAGGGCAGAACTTAGCCAGCAAGGGTTAATTTGATTTGATCAGAGAACCAAGGGCCTCTTTTACACCCTTGGGCTAGGATCCAGGGGCCTCACAGGTATTCGGAGACTAAAGTACTTGGAGACACTACTCGGGTACGGTTGTTTTCTTACAAAACATTTTATGCCAGGTCAGGCTCACTAATAAAGATGCAGTTTTTGAGATTCCAGATGTTTTAGTAAATAATGATAAAATGTTTTTCTCACTATAACCTATTCCAACTCTTGTATTTTTGCAGTGCAAGCTATATTTAATGTTCCAATATAAATTTTGTGAAACCGAGACACAAAAGAGCCCTGATGTAAAATAAAAATGATCTGTTATTTAGCTAGCTAGCAAATTTAATAAACCATTAAGCTGTTGATCTTTTTTTGTTGCCTCTCGTACAGCAGTCTCCCTGGCCCTGGCATTGAATGGAGTGTGCACTAACACTATCAAGCTCATTGTAGGACGGTAAGTGTTTTACATTATATGCAATGTATATGGCAGAACCTAGGTTAGAAAGCCCCAACTCCAACCACTTACTGCTGTGGCCGTGGATGAAGGTGATCAAGCGTGATCTGTACTTAATCAGATTCATTAGTCTGATAGACCCCTAATGTCTCCTACAGGGAACCTGCCACCTTCAATGTGCTATCTCACAGTGGGCTTGTGAGACCCAATATTGGTATAATAACCATAATAATGTAAAAGAAAATAAGGTGCAAAAAAAAAAAAGTAAAATAAAGCGTTTTTTTAAAGTCCCCCACCCCCATGTATATGCACATACTTATGTAAATCCATGTTGGGTGCACCTATGTAAGAAAACAATTATTGCGGTACCGCCATAACAGGTCAGAGTGACAGAAATAATTCTAGGGCCATTATTCATGGTTAACTCTAAACTGATAAACCTAGACCTGTAAACGCATCTTTGGACAATTATGGGTACCGTAGTTTTTCACTATTTCGCGGGTGCGTGCGATTTTGAAGCTTGATATGTTGGGAACTACTTACTTGCCACAACCTCATCTTTTATATTTTACCCACAATAAAAGTATTCTATTATGTTTATGCCTTAGTATAGCTGTGGTCTGGTTGGAGCTAACTGCATTTACTTTACTGTTCTGAAAAAAAGAGTTCTACTACATTTTCTAGCAACTTGATGCAAAGATATTGTGAAGAAATGGGGACAAGTTACAAACCGACAACTGAAGTAGCCTCTGGATCCTTGTCTCGTAAAGTTCCTAGCCTTGCCTCGTAAAGTTTCTGTGGTAACTTGCCATTAATTGTGATATCACCTATAGCATATTACCCAATGACCTCCTAATCTGCTGATTTATATAAAAACAGAGTAAGAGTAGAAAGTCCTTGGCCATAGCAACCAAGAGCCAGATTTCAATTATTATTTTCTAGGACAGCTTAGAATTATATTGTTTTCTAGCCTCAGCACAGTTGCGTTTTATTTCCTTTGGTAGATTTCTTTAGGACTTAGAATTTAATAAAACATTTATTGCAACAAAATAGAAAAGAAAGGAGATAGAAAACCCCATGCCTGGCCACTGCTGAATCTAAGGAGATAGATCTTGCCTATTTGGGTATATGATATAACAGGAATACATTTCATTTACCTGCTTCTCCTGACCTAAACGGAAAGTTCAAGGAAAGATAACATTTCAGTTCTACTTACAGTCCAGCATGCTGAGTTACATATTGGATTTATTTTGTTTCCTGATATGCAGGCCTGGGATCTCAAGGTAAAAGACATCACTATTGAGGCCCCCTGAGAAACCCAAGAAACCACTAAAGGAACGTTCCACCCAAAATTATTATACAGGATTTATATAGTGCCAACAGTTTGCGCAGCGCTTTACAATATAAGGAAGACATTACACTCGCAATACAATTCAAGATAAGATGTTAAGGAGGGCACTGCTAGACATGTGCGATTCGGATGCATCCAAATTCCAAATTAAAGCTAAGACGAATGCAAACGAATCCGAAATTCCCGATTTCCCGAAATTCGTTATTGGACGAATTTCGTTGCAGCAAAACGACATGAGGTAGAAAAAAAATGAGAAAATTTTCCCTCTACAACATTTCTATGATTAAAGTACAGAGGTAATAGTGTAGTGGTTAGAGTCCTGGCTTGCCATTGTCAAGGTCGCAGGTTCTAATCCAGGGCAGGGAGAGTAAAGGATAAAGATTTTTTTTTTATTTGCTTTTAAATTGGCATTCTCCTAACATTCCTACCAGACCTAAAGGGTCTGGTAAGATTGGGGGGGGAACATCAGGCTTTTTTTTTTTTTTTTCATCTTCTGCAGACAAATGTCATTTTTTTTTTTTTTTCCTAATGTCATTTTGCTGCAACGAAATACGCTATTGGACGAATTCCGTTGCAGCAAAATGACATTTTTTTTAACAGTCTGCAGAAAATGAAAACAAAATAAGCGTGAGGTTTCCCCCCAATTCATACCAGACCCTTTCGGTCTGGTAGGAGGGCCCCCCCCCTTATAACACAAAAAGTGCGTGGGGTTCCCCCAAAAATCCATACCACACCCTTAAGGTCTGGTAGGAATTTTAAAGGGGAACCCCAGCATCAGGTTCTAATCCAGGGCAGGTTAAGGAAGTTTTTTTTTTTTTTTTCCAATAACGAAATTCGTCCGAAACTAATTAAATTTCGGACCCGAAAAACGAAACTAAACAAATTTTTTTTTTGTTTCAAAACGAAACTAAACTAAACAAATTTTTTGCTGGTGCACATATGTAGGCACTGCCCCTGAGGGCTTACAATCCAAAAGTGATATTTTAGTTTTAGTTAGGGCATGGTAGGTTGAATCAGTCCTTGGCATGTTATATGTCTGGAATATTTGTAAATCAAGATTGTTCTGCCCTTTTTCCAATGTCTTTCCACCTGGCATTTTTGGGTATTCACACACATGTTTGCTGCATTGCCCATAATATAACATGAATAAAAATGCAACAGGGAGAATAGGAGTCCCTTACAATGGCAACATCAAGAGTTCAAACCCAACTGTACAACAGTTCTTATCTCACAAATAGTATGATATATAAGAAATTGTCAGGTGGTGGACTGACCTGTGACAGGCGCAACATAATCAGATGAATGCTGGTTATTTTAGACCGATTAACACCAGGATTGCCAATCACTGCCACTCCCTGCCTCAATGCACTATAAGTGCAGGGATTAGTGGTCAGGCCAGGCCATGAAACTCTCGACTCTGTCTTTCAGGTTTAGTGACTTTGGGCAGCTTGAGTGCAAAGAAGAGGTGCTGCGGGGACAATGAGTATTGCAGTCAGTATTGCAGCCACAGCATCCTCCACAGTTGGGAACGAAAATAGCCTGCAGTTAGGATTTAAGGCTACAGGTTAGGACACAGACCAAAATTTGGAAAACAAAACTGGAGCTCCACCTGCTGGGTAATACTAAGAATATATTTTTATTTTATTTCAGCTATTCCTGACAATAAATAGATAATATAAAAAGCTACTACCTTTAAAGACAATTTAGCAATGGCACCTTCCATATATGTCTGTAAACAGGTTTACTTTTATTATTACATTTGTGCAAAATTAGCTGTGGGGATCAGACTGGTGTGATTTCAGCAGCCATTTGGTGCTGTACATCGAGGTGCTTAATGTGTGAGCACAGATCACATCCATAGCAACCATGAAAATTTGAAACCGCATCATGAATAGGGAAAGCAAAGGCAATACATAAAGAAGAGTAAGAATGCAAAATAAATATGCTGTAGAAAGTGTTAGAGAAATGATCTTTACCTTTTGCTTTCTTATAGGATTTAAAGGCTAACAATGCACTTAGCAGTATTGTATACCTCCATAAAGGCCAGTCTTCTTATCTGCAAGGTACATACATACACTATACATACTGTAGTCTAAACTGTATCTAAAGTTTAAACTGATTTATTTTTATGGGAAGAGAACAAAAAACAAGGGGGCGCCTACCCTAGTGTAGATACATTTTATTGAAAAGCGGCAAAAATAGAAATAATACTCACAAGAGTAGATGACAATGAGCTTTCAGAAACCAAGGAATATCAAACCAGGAGGAGATGGATGAGAGCTGCACAGACAATCCTGTGTATCAGCCTAAATTGACGCGTTTCCGGGGTCACGCCCCCTTCATCAGAACGTCATTTATTTTGATGTTTTGGATTGACTGGGGAAAAGTTGGAATCCTTGTCAGGTTTTTTTACAAAAAGAACTTTGGGCAGGTAAGAAAAGGGTTAAGTGCTCATTTTAGTCTAGCGTGCCAAATAAAAAAGATATACTCGCCCAAACCTCGGTCCTGCAGCAGTGACCGCCCAGCTCTCTTCCCGTAAACTCTGGCTGTGATATGACCCTTAGTGTCCTTATGTATAATCCAAGTCAATGGACATGTATTACATGTGATGGTATCAGCGGGGCTTGGACCGCTAAAGGCCAGGGAAGAAGAGGGTGCAGGGACCGTTCTAGAAGCCAAGTGGGACCAAGATAGGTAGGTAAGTATATCTTTTCTTTAATTTACACCCTAGACCAAAACAAGCTCTTAACCCTTGCAGTAGCCCCCCCCCTCTTCCCCCACACAGCAAGGGTTAGGTTTTTAACTGCTCAGAGTTCTAATTGTATCCATATTTAGGGGTGTATTTATAAAACATTTGCATTTCCTATGTTCCCCATGTGGCTTTAATGCACTGCAACATTTAAACCTTAGACATGTGCAGAGCAAGTCAATCTTACATGGGCGAAATACTGTCACAGCAGAAGACAATGGGTAGTTATTATAGCTTATTTTAAACCCTGTGAGCTAGCTGATGGCGTGCCCATAAAAACTCACTAGAGCTAATTAACAAACCTAATCTATAGCTGGCACATGCTACTAATTGAAAACCAACATAATATGACTTGTCTTTGCAGCAGTGTTTGTAGTTTTGTTCCCTTGTAACCTGCGCAATTTCCTCTAAATTCCAGTACAGAGTTTTTACTTGTGCTGGAGAGAATCTGGGACTAAGCTTCCGTTTCTTATATCATTAAAAAATAATTTTCTGGAAGTGAGAGTAGTGTGCTTATCGGTGTGTATTAAATGTATGTATGAAAATCTGCCAACATCTCCTTATAATGTGTTCATTATTCTTCATTGATTTTCCTAGAAACTCATATAAAAACATTTTCTGGTCTACCCGATTCCTGTCAAGACCAAGAATGATGTCATTGTACAACTGTTTTTTAAGCGTTCCAGGTTATTCTTCTGTGTGATTATTTGAAAAGGGCAAATCTTTTTATAGGAAGGGAATTAAATAGAACAAAGCATAAAGATGTGATTATGTATCAAGAAATGTTACAGATGTGACTGGTATAAAGTAAAAATAAAAGGTTTAGAGGTGGTGATCAGACTGGCACTGTATTTCACAATAAGAAATTACATGAAATATCAGCAGCTTTCAAATTGTCCCAATATGTTGAGTATTAAAGTTCACTGTCCCAACAAAATTACAGCAGGGTGGGATACAACTGTAGCTTTAATTAAAGCAGCTCATTTAAACAGCTAAATACACAGATATAATTCACATAAGAGATGTTTATCTGCCAAAGGATTTGTATTTCTATCCATTCATTTGTGAGATATATACAACCCTTCCAGAAACACAGCCGGCCTGGAGACCTGACTTTTTTCTATTGCAGTAAAGTAAAGCAATTAGGTTATTTTCCTGCCCCCAGCCTCTGACTGGACAGTAAAGGAGAAGCAGCAGACTGATGAGTTCATCTCTCTGTCACTCAGCCTGCTCCTCCTAAGGGATGGCTTCTCCTAAGTATGTTCCATGTTAGCACATGATCCAGCTGATTGGCCTCTGCTTCATTTCTCCCTGTCCCAGTGTGAGCTCTCCTATACAGGGTATTGCTAGTGGCTGATACCAAGTCAAAACCAGGTATTTACACTAGTTGTTGTTAAAATACATTTAATGTTAAAAAAAAACATGCCTGCATGAATTGGTGCTTCTTTATCTGCAGGACATTAAGCCATACATGAAAATTGATTAACTTTTTTAGCAAACCCCTTTTTCTCTTTTGTTCTCTCCTAATTTCTCCCTTTTTTGTTTTCTCTTCCTGTTCTCTCCTCACATCTCCTTTTCTCTGTTTTCCTTTCCTTTCCTCTGCTTCAGGGGCCTCGAACTCAATTCAGTTGGGGGCCACTGGACAAATGTTCTTCTCCCATGGGGGCCGCTTGCCAAATTTCATAAAATGTAATACTTCAAAATAAAATGTAACTATATATGGTACCAGTGTTAATGTCTGCCTGTGTTTATAATGTCACTATATGTATTGGTGATGGTTTCTTTGTAAGCAATGTCAGTATATTTGTGCGATGGTTTGTGTGTGTATTGTCAGGATTTTTGAGGGTGATGTGGGTATGTGTGTTAATGTTTTTGTGTGTGTAATCTCCTTATGTATACATATGTATATGTGTGCAGTGTCAGTATATGTGTGTGTTTTTCCCCACAGGTTTTAATTTTAATCATACAGGACCAAAAGATTCACACACAGAAATACATACACACTAATACACAATAATAAACACACACGCGCACACACACACACACAATATTAAACACACACACTAATACACAATAATACACACACACACTTTCTTAAAATAACCACCATATTTGATTCCTCCAGTCTATGAACAGAGGAAATGTATGTCTGTTTATAAATACAGTTCATTGTGCACAATGAATACATAGAGCTGCTTACTCTGCCCTATTGTCTGCTGCTCTTGCTACAGGGGGAAATTAGGCACCTGTATGATGACTAGACTAGACTAGAGCAGACATGGTTTTACACTTGTGATCAAGATGGAGAAATTAAGGGAGACTGCATATTCCCTGGTGGTTTAGTGGTTAATTAGTACACTCTGCACCTTTGGCTGGTGCAGGCCTTACTAATCCTTCCTTATGTCTTGCGTGAAGGCTGTCAGAGTGCACACTAAGCACCAGCACCATCAGGAGCAGCTATACAGTTTGCATCCGTCAGAGATGCAGACCATGTAGCTACTCCACCAAGTCAGGTACACGTTCCGTGACTGGCTACAGGCTGCATGGTACCGGTTCTGCTCTACTTCTTTCCTTCCTCCATTTATCTTTACCACAAGCTTATTTATTGTTTATTTTGGGGCACTCCTTACATGCTGCATTCATTTAAATATTTTTTATTTCAGTGTTTCATTTTGCAGTTTAATGATACAATAAACATTGGATTCTTACAAAGCCCTGAATGATACCAGCCATCAACCCTCCTCCCAACAGACTCTTCCCTGCACACAACAGCAACTAGTTAAAAATATGATATCCTATTTTCAATTTTAGGCCACGTCCTGATTTCTTTTATCGCTGTTTTCCGGATGGGGTGTCAAACGAAGAGATGCATTGCACTGGAGATGCCAGCCTTGTGTCAGAGGGAAGAAAGAGCTTTCCGAGTATCCACTCATCCTGTGAGTATACATGGTTTTACTCTGCCTGTGTTATCCTATGTATAAAATACCATGAAGAGCTACAAAAACACTGATACGGGATCCTATCCAAAAGTGTATTTATTGGGGGCGCACCGATACCGTTTTTTCCTTATTGAGTACGAGTGTCGATATTTTTTTTCGGTACTCGCCGATACTGAAAGTCCCATTGAAAAAGCTTGCTGGGGTGTAATGACTCGCCACCCGGCTGATTACGAGTACTCGCCCTAATACTCAATATTAGCACTGATACCGACACTAGTATCAGTATCAGTGCATCCTTAGTATTTACCTATTTTTAGCTCCTGATGTATAACAAACCAGAATCTTAAAACAAGTGAAAGTGACCAGTTTTATAGTGTCCAATGCCACACATCTGCCTATAGCCTGGATCCACCTCCATGGTAAACCCAGGCTGTAATGTGCATGAAGTACAGGTTAGCAGACAGCTCAATAATTTTGTGTTGATCTGATTCCTCCAGCACTATCTATCTTTGTATATAATAATCAAAGCCTATATTGAATTGAGGTTATAGACTTATCTAAAATTTACCAAATTATATGACATTTACTTTGAACTAGACCTGACAGGTGCAGTTGCTTGGATCAGATATCCTGTTCTTTTGCACAGCTAGAATTCTGCAGGAAGATTCTGAACCTATAGAGGATGATTTACTAAACGTATATTCACTGATATTTTTTTGAGCTTTTTTTGTGTGTTTTTGAAGCGGGTTTGATATATTTTCAAGCTTTAGACATTTTTGGCCAAGGTGTAAAGCAGCATCATCTGTCATATTGTCGACCTTGTATCTGCTTCCTGATTTTTCTGTGTGGTGTTGTGATGTCTTGTGCTACTGGAGCTCCCAATCTGAAAAAATGTCATGCCCAATTTCTTCCCAGGCCCTCTTCCACTTGCCACGGTTCTTGTAATAGACATCACTGGGGTCATAAAGGTTCTTGTGTGTTCAGTGGTTTACCTCTATGGTCTGTAAGCCATATGACAGTGTAGTTCCCCTACCCTTCTCCTCCTCTGCTAGTTTTTTACTATCACTGAGGGCACACTTCTGAGAGTTTCTAAAATGTGGTGTTTGGTGGGAATTAACAGAATGACCCATCCCAGTTTAACTTTAAGTTTAAATCAGCTAAAGACATTTAATGTGCATTAAAACAAAAGGTTTGGTTTCTTTAAAAAGTAGCCCCAGCAAAAGCAGACATCCTGTCCCCTGCTAGCATCCTGCAGAAAAAGACATTTCTCTGTGTAAAAGCAGTGGTCGCTCTGCAGAGGTCCAACCCAACTTATACGTCCTGCTAATTGGAGAGCTCTGGCTCCATTGTGTCCTCCCAGAGAGAGCAATGGTCCTCAGGGTACAGGCTTTTCTTCTCAGGATATGGTTGCTTTGAATATTTTGTAAAACACATATGCAGGATTCAATTATGATCATCTAGTTAAGGAAAGGCACTTTTTTAATAAAGTGCTAGAAATTCTCTGTGGGTGAAATTGATTCGGCTACCTCCCCCTCATCCCTTGATTAGGTTATTCCAGTGCTTTTCTATAGCTTAATCACATTATTTACTAACAGTATGTGTAAAGCAGGCCATACCCCTATAGATTATGTGCAGATTTTTTTATGGTCAGATGGAATACGTGCAACAGATTCCTCCATCTGCACTAAATTTTGTGGCTGGAGGAATCTTCCGCTGAGCCAAGCTTCAGTATCTTGCTAGTCGGCCCCGCTGGCTCTCAAAACACCTGAACAATCTGATTGGATGCAGGCATTGTTCAGGTATTGTTCGGGAAGAAGAGGCTGACAGGTAAGGGGTGTGTCCAGCCCACCTGAGGGTGACCCTGCACAGCCCACCATAGAGACTCTATGGTGGGCTGTGCAGGGTCACCCTCAGGTGAGCTGTGTGGGATCTCAAGTGGGCTCTTCAAGGGGTCTAACTAGAAATCACAGGGCCCCATACAAAATTTTGCTATGAGGCCCTGTGATTTCTAGTTACGCCCCAGCCTCCATCCACACAGTTTAGCGTAGATGGAGGAATCTGTTGCACTTTTTCCATCTGATCATAGAAAATCTGCAGATAATCTATAGGTGTATGGCCAGCTTTATGCTATAACATTCTGATTGGCTGACACTACTTTACCAAGGCTGAGTGCTGCTGTGCAGATGATTACAGGTTGCTGATTTCCAGACAGGTTCAGGTATTTAGGATAATTTTCAATTAAATCAATTTAAAGGAGAACTATGGGGTTAGGGCTTTTCCTCATAGTTCTCCTTAGGGTAACGGGAGGACACAAACTAGCATCCTCCCATCACCCTACGCCGGTATGTGTTCGCTCACCTCCCGATCTACTGAGCCGACTTGTGACCGTCTCATTGTCACAGGTCGGCTAGAACTATGAGGTGAGTGAAAAGCACTCCTCATAGTTCCCCTTTAATGATTTTTATTGAATGCATAACTGAATGTATGCTTTTTTTATCTACTACTTTTATGTACCTGGAGTACAGCTTTACAAAAGCACAAATACTAGAGTTTGTTTAATTTACAATTAAGTACATTGTACTTTTACAGAACTTTTTTTGATATTTCTGTTGCTGGTTAATTGGCTTGTTCTTCTCTGTGGCAAACATGAAATCAGTGATGTATGGCTTTGGTGAGGACTCTGACAGCCTGCCACTGCTATTCAGCCTTGGGTTTTATTAGCACTCTCATACAGTTATGCTTTGCTAGACAGAGCAACAGACTCTCATCTGAAAGCTGGTCTGGCTAGAGGGGAGCTAATGGAACGTGAGGCAAGCTAATTAATTTGTCTTTGTTAATAATATAGAATAAATAAACAACATGCCATATGTACAATAGGATATACTAGAGTTGTGTTTTATTAAATGCTACAAGTACATTATATAAAACAATTGCCAAAAACCTAATAATTTGACTATTTTGAAAGGAAGGTAAATATTTTCCAGTACCCTTCCCACTATACGTTCTCTTTAATGAACAGACACACATGTGCTAGTATACATAGGAAGGAAAAATCAGTATTAATTGAAACAGTATGAAATGAGTAATAAAATTATTTTTATAACTTATCTGCATGTAGAGTGCTGATGGAGCAATGTGTAGTTTTATTTGTGCAGCTGTGTTTTGTGAGCAAACATATGGGTTAGGTCACTCATGAATGGGTCCATACATTTTACTTTCTGAACAGTAGTGCCGCATGTCTAATGAAGTTTAAAACCCCTTTTGCACATGGCATCTCAGTCTCTCTGGTGGGCTAGCAGTTTTCTAGTGGCTTCCAATGCGCAAATTACTTACTGCAGTTGATTGGAGTGTACAAACAGAGAGGCGCACATTGATATAAAGTGATTAACCAGTTTTTAAAAAAACTGTATATACTGTACACGCAAAATTACAGATGTACATACAGGTAGTAATGTAGAGGCTTCTAAAAAGTCATAGAAAATACTTGCTGGATGTTGTGTTGGATCATGGATTAAACAGCAAGTTTACAGCTGAATGTAGTCCATGTGATATTAGGAAGACTTCAGGAGGCAGGTGGAATTCCTGGGTACTTTTGTGTTATTCTGTTTCTATAGTCTGATGGAAAGTGAGTTTAATTTTCCTTTTTTTAGTTTTTCAGTGTTTTAGCTTTCTCTAAAAATAGATGTATACAGCATCCAAGATTTAGCCAAGGATGAGCAAAGTATATAGGTGAATATGGCAAATGTCCCAAAAAATTTAGACAAGTTTACTCCCTGTTGGACTCTTTAAAGGGCAATTCCAGCATCTGAAAGAATTTAAGGCAGTTTTTTTTTTCCAGTAAAGCATTGCAACTATACACTTTAACATGATGCATTGAGGCTAAATGTACGAGACCACCCAGGAATGTCCTGTAGTGACCTGCAACTATAAACTCCTCAGTTAAGCCGCTTAAAGGAGCATCGAGTATCTCTCATATACTCCAGATATTTTTGCCATGCTGCAATCCTGGTCTCGCTGTGCACATTCTGATTTCAAAGTGTAAGTTGAATTACATGTTCAAGCAATGCTGGATATAGACAGGCAAAACCTGTAGGTGACTATGAGTTCTTTACTCTATTATCTGCTGTGCTAATTGATCCCAACTTAGGGGGGACTCTATAGTCCCCCCTCCCTAGCTCTCTACCATAATCTAAGCTACCTCCCCTCACCCCCCAATTCAGATGCCTACATTCCTCTTTCCTACAACAGCATGCTCCTGAAATCTTTACAGCCTCTGGGCAGTAATCCTATTCAATGCTGACTGTTCAGTAACTTCTCTTAGACTTTAATGGGGCCTTTCTTTAATGGGATAAGTAATGGAGTCATTGGGAGTTACTGTGCAGCCATGGACAACTCTGGACATTTATGCGCCGAGACTGCTGGAGGCTAATGTTCTAAGAAATGGGTAACTAGGCACCTGGTTGAAATGTGTAGCTTCAAATAGGTTAGGAGGATTGGGTGGGGGACTGGGGAAATGTTTTTCTAAATTTATTCTAAATGAAATAGTTTCTTCTGGCACCTGAGCAGTGAAAAAAGTGTTCCATTTACCTTAAGCAAATCATATGAGAGTCTTCAAATTATGATACAGATTTTCTCAGCATGCCAGAAAATCTTTCTAAATAACCCTCCTAGCACTGCATCTCTTTCATCACACAATTTTTGCTAGCATTGCTTAAGTTGCTTAATAGCAAAAATTGTCCTGTGTATGTCCTGCTTATATAACAGTTACTAGATTTCTACAATGTGCCAGACACAGACGTAAAAAAAAGATGCAAACGTTTTAAGCATTAGGGAATCAGCAGTGTAGTGTTGGCCAAGTTCTAATGGAGTCCATGCCTGGATGAGCAGGACTTTCAAATCACGTTGTTCTTGGTAACAGATGTGCCCAAATATTGTCATATTTGTCATTATGGAAAATTGAGTACACCTGGCGAGGTAGAGGAAGGTGAGGAGACTGT